GCTGTGTCCACGCAACGCTTTCGGTGCTCCTCCTTCTTCTTCGCCTCCAGCTCTTCTTCCTCCTGCCAGTGATTCGTGAAATGGATACCGTTACCGATCTCTGTGCTTCTTTCTGCTCCTCTTCCGTCACCTCCACCTCCGCCTCCTGGCCTAACTCGACTCGACGACGAGAAAACTCTTCTAGACGATCCTGTTCCCAGTCTCCTTGTTGTTTCTGGCGAGGATGGTGATGCGGAACGACCAACCGACAAAACCGACGATGTTGCCCGCTCGCTAGCCCATTGTTCGACAGCTCTCGGTGTGCTTGGACTCGAGGTATGCTGATTCTGGTGGTGGTGGTGATGTTGTTGTTGTTGCTGCTGATAATGAATTGATTGACTCGGGGTAGTAAGTGTCGCCTCGTTGATCCGCACTGGCCAGCCCGCGCGAGGTGGTGACACTCTCGACAAGGGCGTTCCATTAGCGAGGATGAGGCTCGGTAATGCTCCGCGTCCGCTTCCTCTCGCCCTCGCGACACGCGCTTCATCCCCACCTGAAACGATACCAGATCCGTCAGTCTTTCTTTCCCGTCCCTTTCTTCGTTTCCTCATCCGAATTGAACAAATCGTTCTCGCTTTCGTTCAAAAATGTTCAGTTTATAGAATGTAATATTATTTTACATCATTTTTACAAAACTTTTAAGCGGTAAAAATTCGCTAAATGCGTATAAGAATCATTTCGTAATGCTTATTGTGTAATACGAGGAAATACGATTCTCCAAGCCTTTCCTATTTTACGGAAAAGCAGAAAAGAATAAAGAGTTTTAAAAAAAATAGAAATTTTTCTATTTTGAAATGAGGATTGAATACGATATAATTAAATATGTAATTTCATTGATATTTATTTATTTAATTAGTGTTGATAATTAATTTTCGAATGATAAATAAAATTTCTTAAATTTCTGCATTAATGTTATTAATATTAATTTTGGCATATAAAAATTTCTCATTTAATTGATTCAAAAGAATGAATTTCTAAGTAATAAGGATAAAAATATGTATATAATTTAATTATAATTCATAAGATATTAAATTTTATACGTAACACCATCTATCAAACGCAACTTTATCTTTCTATTCATTTCGTGTCGGATACAATCTTATAAGTTAACCTAACTTTCAGTCGGAACTTATGCACAAGATACAAGGCATGATTGTTTCTATCCTGCGTAAACCACGGAGAATAGGTAAGTGGAGGAAGGGATTTGAATGAACAGAGTCGAAAACGATATTCGGATCACACTAAAAGAGACACGAAGAATGTACGCGGCACTACCTACGTAGCTTCGAGATAGGATTGGTCTACGTGGGCGAGTGCGCCGCTCGTGGGCGCTCGTGGCCTGAGCGAACTGTGGTTCTTGATTCAGTGGTCATCGGCCCACTCGAAGCGCCTACAGTTGTGGAAGAATCGAGCGTTTTGTTCAGCCGAGATCAATCGTGTCCTCGTCTACGCATCTACGTTTTGTGACAGCACGATTTACATCCGATTAGCCAATTAATTATTTCCATAAGAACATTTAGGAATCGAGGAAAAATAGAATGAATGAAGCGTTAAACAAATTCTTTTTTCAATAACAAGAGAAAATTTGAAATGAATTTAGAATTAAAACGAGAATTTTTGTTAAAAGGAAATATTTCATTCATCAATAAAAATAAGATTCTTCCAAAATATCGAAAAATATATATCAATTTTAATTATAAAGTATTAAGTGTTTCGTCTCATCGAAATTAAATAGTGATCTAATAACGACATCTGGTGATTTAAAATATAAGCACAAGTCACGTGACTTTTGTGATTCTTGGTATCTAGAATCTTCTTCCTTCTCATCATTGCAATCAAATCATTGCAGATACGCTGCTTAAATTTTCTGTGCAATGAAGATTTAATATATTATTATCTTTATTCCTATATTATATTTTACTCTAAAGACCAAAATATAAACTAAATTATACTATTTTAACTAAATTCGTCCAATCAAAAACTGATGCATGGATTTGACTATATAATCACGAACTAACACAAACTGTTGAATTTAGACGTATATCGATCGTAAATCGTATTTCTTTTTACAAAAACAAAAATAATTCGTTTCATTCATTTTACAGGTATTTTATTATATTTTCTTCACATTTTTTCTTATTCATTGAATTATATTCTCGAAAAACTATCGCGAAATTGC